AGAACATGGAATATGATGCTAAAAAAGGGCTTGCCAAATGAATCGCAACAACTATCTCAATTTAAAAAAAATTTGAAAAGCTTTATTATTAACAATACTATATAAAGTTGTTTTTATTCTAAAGTAGGCATATATGTGTGTCTGCGTGAGTGTATATGTACGTACATGGATAAAATTTATTTTGTTAATATTTGGTTTATATATATTTGTTTATGTATGTATATATGGGTATGTATATGTATGTATATATATGTATTGTAAACTCAATTGACATTAAATTTTGTAACCAAATTAAATTGTAAACTTATAAATTCAAATTAACATTAAATGATTATTTAATGTAACATTGTTCTGTTGATCTCGATGATTTATATATGAGTATGTGTATGCGTATATGTATGTGTATGTATATATATATATATATGTATGTACGTGTATATATAATTATAGAATATGACTTTAATTAAGCTAACTGAAAACATTTTTTCTAATTTTCTTACATCTGTTTTATTTGTGATAAGGTGGCTGTGCAAGATGAGCTCATGATGAGCTCGATCACAATCATCCTGCCTTCTTAATTATTATTTTTGGGAAGCAAATAAAAAGATCGTTTCGTTTCGTTTCGTTTCGTATGTATGTATGTAAGTATGTATGTATGTAAGAAGTTTATGCGTGTGTGTACTGAAGTAAGAGTAACTGTAGTAGTATCTGTAGAAATAAAAGTAGTAGTTGTAGTAGTACTTTTAGTAATAGTGTTTTTATTAGTAGTAATAGCAGTAATAGTTGTAGTAGCACTACTACTACTAGTAGTAATAGTAGCAGTGGCAGTAGTAGCAGTAGTAGTGGCCACAGTAGTAGTAGTAGAAATAGAAATAATAGTTTTGAATCAGTAGTTGAAGTTGCGTTAGTAACGGTTGTTGTTTTTAAAATAAACAAACCGGCCGTAAAAAGATGATGTTGCAGTTATAAAGAGCATAAATATGCAAGACGGTAATGCCTTTGCTGCTGTGGTTGATATTGTTGTTGTTGTTGATGTTAATGTTGATGTTTTTGTTCTTGATGTTGATGTTGTTTTTTTGTTGATAATGATGTTGATGGTATTGTTGTTTTCGATAATGTTGTTGACAATGATGTTGATGATGTTGTTGATGAAGTTGTTAAAGATGTTTTTGTTGATGCTGCTACTATCTTAACTGGTTGTTTGAAAGCTACCAAATTGTTGTTGGATCCAAATAGTTAACTTCGGATGGTTCAGAACCATGCTGCTAAAGTGATATATCGAATATCTATATGCGCGTGTGTGTATGTGGCAACAAAATGACTAGTTTTGTTGAAATAACGGTGTTAGGCAAGGCTGTGTATTCTCTCCAAAGTTGGATTCGCGTTGTCCTCATTGTCGCTGCTTTCTTTGTTGTTGTCGCTAGAAACATAAACTTTCTTGTTGTGGCCACGAAAATTGTGTTTTCAATCCAGATGTTTTTCTTTATTTCTTTGCTTATGCTTCAGTTAAATATATATGTTGCGGGAACGAAAAAGAGTATTTTTTTTGTTGTTTTGAAAGTTACAATAAGAACGGCTATTTTTTCAACATTGTTATAGCTATTTGTTAGTAGTATTAGTATTAGTAGTAGTAGTAATCGTAACAGTAGTAGTAGTAGTAGTAGTAGTAGTAGTAGTAGTAGTAGTAGTAGTAGTAGTACTAGTAGTAGTAGTAGTAGTAGTAATAGTTTTTGTAGCGGTGTTTTGTTATGCTTGTCAAAAAGATAATTGTTGTTTGTGTTGTTGATTTGTTCTGTTGTACAGCTTGTCAATATATTAATGGGATTCGTTGTTGTAGTTTGTGTGCCATGTAACTAAGTGGCTGTTGCAATCAGTAGTTGTTATGTTGTTGTGGTTGTTATGGTCAGTTGTGGTCGTTTTTGGTAGCATGTTGTTGTTGTTTGTGTTGCTGGTTGTTGTTTCTGTTGTTGTTGTGACTTATATTCTTGCAGTTATAGTTAAAAATATGGCCGCCATTATCGTTATTTGAATTCAAAATGCGGCGAACAAATTTTTTTAGTTTTTGCTGAGTTTTAAAAAAAATGTTTGCTTGCTACAATCTTGTGAAATGTATTCCTTTTTTTCAACAACACACTGCTCCCTCTACTACTACTATAACAGCAGCAACAACAACAACTTCTACGACTACCACTACTATTTCAGCTACTAAAACTAATACTACAAACACTGTATAAAGCACTACTATGTTTGTGTGAATCTATATATGTGTGTGTGTAAGTGAATAAATTATTTTATTCCATATATTCATTCATTAATGTTTTTTGTGCCAGCCATGGAAGATGACTTTGAGTAGCTGTTTGTCAAGTTCTTTTTTTGGTAAAGTAGGTAGAATGTGTTCAATTTGATGGACATTGCTCAGTCAAAAAGTGAATTATTTTTAAAATATACTAAAAAATATTTTTTAACATTTATAACATTACATAATAAATAATATTTGTAATTAAAAATGGAATTATTTTCGCTGATCGAAAAAGAAAATATTTGCTGTCATCTTTTTAAGAATCGAGGTTGGCAGAAAATTTTTTTTGGTTTCACCCACCACATTCTTATCAAAACTGCTGTGGATATGTAGTGGATGTTGTTGTTTCGTTGTGGCTATTGTTGTTTATGAAGTAATTTTTGTTGATTTGTTGTTGGTGCTGTTCCGTTAGTGTTGTTCAGGTAATAGAAGTGGTATTTAAGCAGTTTTTCTGTTGTTTATATGGTTGTTTATGTTGTTGTTAATATTGTTATGACAGAATCGTGAGAGAGAACGTGTTGAAATGGTCATTAATCATCGTGAATGCAAGCAACACAACAACAACACACCTCACTAATATACATATCTTATATTTTGACGCAATTATCGTCAACAACTGCTGACTTAAAAGCATCTTTGATACTAACATCAACAACATCATCAGCAACAACATCAACAACAACATCAACAACAACATCAACAACAACATCAACAACATCATCAACAACAACATCAGCAGTAACATTAACATTAACAACAGAAACGAAAAAAAAACTTTTGGCTGAGGCCTAAAAATCAACAAATTTTAAAAACAACAACAACAGCAATATCAAAATAAACATAACATCGGAAATATGAAATATTACCATAATAGATATACACATGTTACACATGCAACATGCACGTGCACACACACACACACACACACACACACACATGAAAATATACAATCAAAACATTACTATTACTTATAATGTAACAACGCAACACAGAAAACCAAAAAAGCAGCAACAAAAAACATTACACAAACGAAAGTTCATTATTTAATGCAGACATTTTTTTGGACGAAAGGCTTTGATGCGGTGTCTTTTTCCAAGAAGTTAAAAAATAAAAAATATGTGAGATAATAAGACAAAATAAATTCAATTAAACTGCAAGTTATAATCATATATAATAATAAAATACACACAGACAGACACACACACACACAGATACAGACACCCACATACAGACACACACACTCACGCAAGCACACGCACACACATGCCAACTTTAATATACACACTATCACCATTTACGCAATCAATCTTTTCACACACAGAAACACACACACAAACACACGCACATGAATACACTTGTCTAAAACACACACAGAAACACACACGAACATGCACAAACACACACACCAGCTCACGTACACAGCAACACAAATGATGAAGAGCATGCACTGTTGGATGGCGTTGTTGCTGCTTTGTGGAGAACGTGTGAAATAAAGTTGATGTTAATTGGAAAGGAAACTAAATTATCATAATGATGTTTGTTTATACGCTTCTACAAACCTATATATATATATATATATATATATATATATATATAATCTTATATATATAAAATAATATAATCCTATATATATATATATTTATATATATATATATATATATATATATATATCTATATAAGAGCGTGGTTGTCATTGTCAGTATAAATGCATTTTCCATAATGAGATTTCAGGCTGTTGATTGTATTTTTTGTTGTTTGTTTCCAATTATTTATCTTTCAAAATGTTCATCCGGATAAGAAAATGTGCCTCGAAGAAGAAGCTGGATGACTTCATCCTCACCTAACAACTTTCCTGTACCCCCCACAAAATGATGCAACGATGCAACGATGCAACGCATGGAAGCTAATTTTAACTGTACAATTCATACTAAACATACAACTTTTATCTTATACAATGTTCAAATGTATTGTGTTATGTGCAAGCTTACATTTGTTTACATACAAAAACACACAGACATACATAAACAGACAAACAAATAAAGATACAAACGTTCATGAAAACAAGCAGGCGTATGATTGTTTGAATTTCATTTTCGAGCACAGAAGTTCAAAAAGTTAAACAAATTGAGCTGAAGCTTAATTGCATAGTGTGAAGTACAGGATGAAACAAACACAAACACACAAACACACATAGGCAAGTACACATATATATTTATTCATATATGCGCACATTCACACATACAGATACACACATTCAAACATACACACACACACACCACACACACACATGCGTTAACGCATAGAAACATACACATACACACAGAAACACAAATAATTTCACACATACAAACAAACACACAGAAACACACATTACGTGCACTGCACAAATACCAGAACACATGTTTGCAACACTACATCCATTAACAAACATATAGTAAAACTCGCAAACATATACGAAGACTTACATACAGACAGACGCATACAAACAGACAGACATACAGACAGCCAGAGACAGACAGACACCATTCCTGCAGACACACACGTAATGGCATATAAGACGTGCGTACAAAATGGTTGCTGAAACGTAATTGTATTCAGGTAGGAAAGTTTATCTCAGAATATTATATATATATATATATATATATATATATATATATAGTTATATATATATAAATAGCGATAATAAATAAATATATATATATATTTATATATATATATTTATATGTGTGTGTATGTGTATGTGCGCTTGTGTTTGTGTTGTGTTTTTAGTGTATGTATCGTTTAACCATACTATTATGTGTTCCGAAGCATACGTATTTGTATGTTCATGCATATTTGAATAAATTATTATTATCGTGTTTCTATGTTTGTGTATGTTTCTATACAAATTTGCTCTTCAAATGTACAAACGTATTTGTTTGTGTTTGTGCCTGACAACGTGGTGTACTAGTTGATTGCTTTGCCGGCTGGCTGGCTGGCTGGCTGGCTGGCTGGCCGGCTGGCTGGCTGGCTGGTTTGATACCATCCCGTGTTGCTTAAACAAACGTTAAGGTCACATGTGTTGATATAGAAGTAATACAAATTGACGCAAATTGAACTTGAAATAACTTGGCTGCGTCCGTGCAAGTTTCAGGT